GATAAAACAGTCATGTATTCCTCATTTTTCACTGTATGTCAACAACTGTAACCATGTACTTAGAATTCCATAACAGTTGTGCTCACCAGATGATCGTCTTTCTAATCTCGCTTCTGTGTGACTAACGGGAGCCCAGGCTTGCCCTGTAAATTTCCCAAGTCCCCGCGTGCTGCACACCGTGCGGAGCATGACCTGCACAGCCGCGTCCCCCAGACCTGCCCAGGTCTGTAGTGCGCCTCCACAGCTCACGCACGGGTTGCAGCTCTCACTGGCCCGGACCCCTTCCGGGGGCCTCCCTCCCCTTCTTCCTCATTCTCAGCGTTCGCCTCTCAACTCCGTCCCCATGAGCAGGTGGATGTTCTGGTGACTGTCCCAGGGGTGGCTGGTCTGGACTCTTACTCTCTTATGTGGAACGACTTTTCATTTTCTTTATTTCTTTTAACTTTTGTCATTTGAGCTGGCTCCAAAACATACTGATAACTTTGTTTTTTAATTTGCTGAATTTCTATACCTGAGTTTGAAGAAATCCATAAGTCCTATTGTCTTCTTTCTTAAGTGCCCCCTCTCCCCAGCCAGGTTGTCACCTGCACACGGAGACACATTCATTGTAACCCTTGGACTCTTCACTGCAGAGACAGGAAGGTAGAGGTGCACTTAGTTCCGAGAGGCCACGCCATATTCTTTGAAGAGCTTTACTGCATATGGCACAGAGAGAAAGGGAATAGGAAGTACTGTCGATATCAGATACAGCGTTAAGTTTTAAAACTACCTCTTAACGTGATTCTGAATAAAAGTTAAGGATGTGCCACCAAAGTGTGATTAAAACAAATAGTTAACACTATCTGGAGACCTAGATTACAGGTCTATAAAACCTAGAATGCAGAGGAATGGAGGGACTACCTGTCATATCAGGAAACTTATAAAAATTAAATCTAACAGCCCTGGCTGGTGTGGCTCAGTGGATTGAGTGCTGACCTGCTAACCAAAGGACCAAGGGTTCGATTCCCAGTCAGGGCATATATGTAGGTTGTGGGCCAGGCATGAGAGGTAACCAGAAACTGATGTTTGTCTTCCTCTCTTTCTCTTTCTCTCTGTCTAAAATAAATAAACTCTTTCAAAATTAGATCCAACAGGCTATAATCTTTGGAAAGCATCTGAAATGCTTATTTCTGTTTCTGATTAAGGGCATGTCAAGAGCAAACTAGCAGGTGTTAAATTTGAAATGTGTTGCAGAATTTAAAAGTCTTAACCAAAACTTTTTCAGCATGGCTGTTATCCTACTTACATTGTGGAGGCATGTTTGAAAGAATATCAGTGTGTATAAAAAGGATTCTCTTAAAAACACTTCCAGTCACTGTAGCTCATGACAGTCAGTGATCAAAATTCTAACATTCTTGAGCATGGCTGAGATTATTTTAGCCTGGAAAAAGTTTGAAGTCAAGCCTCTTAGAGGCAAATCATACCAGGAAACACATAAAACCACGGAACATCTGGTATTCAGGAATGTAGCTCCTTAGTGAAACTTCTTAGGTGAATATGTTGTGAATTGTACCCTTAATTTTTTTTGTCTTCACATAAGGACATGCTTATTTTTTTTAATTTTTTATTGATTATGCTGTTACAGTTGTTCTATTCCCCCTTTCATTCCCCTCCACCCTACCCCCCCATCCCCACCATTACCCCCCCCTTTAGTTTATGACCATGTGTCTCAAGTCCTTTAGATTCTATATTTCCCATGCTATTCTTGCCCCCCCATCTATTTTCTATCTACTGTCTATGCTACTTATTTTCTGTACCTTCTCCACCCTTCTCCTCCTCCCACTCCCCTGTTGCTAACCCTCCTTGAGATCTTCATTTCTATGTTTCCACTCCTGATCTAGCTGTCCTTTTAGTTTGCTTTCCTTTTAGGTGTGGTTGTTAATAACTGTGAGTTTGTTGTCCTTTCACTGTTCATGTTTCTTTAACTTCTTTTTCTTAGATAAGTCCCTTTAACATTTCATATAATAAGGGCTTGGTGATGATGAACTCCTTGAATTTGATCTTATCTGAGAAGCACCTTATCTGTCCTTCCATTCTAAATGAAAGTTTTGCTGGATAGAGCAATCTTGGTTGTAGGTCTTTGGATTTCATGACTTGGAATACCTCTTTCCAGCCCCTTCTTGCCTGTAAGGTCTCTTTTGAGAAATCCGCTGACAGTCTGATGGGGACTCCTTTGTAGGTGACTGTCCCCTTATCTCTTGCTGCTTCTAGGATTCTCTCCTTCATTTTAATTTTGGCTAATATAATTAAGATGTGCCTTGGTGTGTTCCTTCTTGGGTCCAATGTCTTTGGGACTCTCTGAGCTTCCTGGATTTCCTGGAAGTCTATTTCCTTTGCCAGATTGGGGAAATTCTCCTTTATTATTTGTTCAAATGAGTTTTCCACTGGTGGCTGTGCCTTTCCCCCTTCTGGTACCCCTATAATTCGGATGTTGGAGCGTGTAAAGATGTCCTGGAGGTTCCTAAGACTCTCCTCATTTCTTTGAATTCTTGCTTCTTGACTCTTTTCTGTTTGGCCATTATTTATTTGCTTTCTTCTGGTCCACTCCATTGATTTGAGTCCCAGTTTCCTTTTCATTGCTATTGGTGTCCTGTGCAATTCCATTCATTTCAATTAGTTTCTCCTTCATATATTTGTTTAATTTGTGGCTATAATCAACCAGATCTGTGAGGATCCTGATGACCAGTGTTTTAAACTGTGTGTCTGAGAGTTTTGCTATTTCTTCATCGCTTAGATCTATGGGCTCTGGGGCTTTGAGATCTTCTTGCGACATTTTTGGTCTGTTTGTGCCCTTTAAGTGTGAGAAGCGGCGCCTGGGACTCCCAGGTCGCTGGGTTGTGACGCTGTATGTGGGGGCGTGGTCAGAGCGGGGAAATGGCGGCGCCCTCTGCTGTTTCCCACAGCTGGGTGAGGATCAGCGCCTTAGGTGGTTCACCTGGGCCGGGCCACTCAGAGTCGCTGGGTTATGACGCTGTATGTGGAGGTGGGGTCAGAGCAGGGAAATGGCGGCACCCTCCACTGCTGCTTGCCGAGGGACCCGCTGGGTCCCGGTCCAACCGCCCACTCCCTCGCCTGTCCACCCGCGCACAAATGTGCAACCACAGTCAACAGGCAGCACCGCTCCCCCGCTGTCTCCCCCCGCGGTCGCTCACTAGGTCCAACCCTGCGCCACCGCCTAGACTAGACGCGCAGCCTAGCCTTCCCCTTGATGGAGCGGCAGGGAGCCCCCGTTTTCCGGCACAGGGCCTACTCGGTGGCATCACATCCTGTGCCATTGTGACTGCCGGGCCACTTGTCCTCCACCAGGGTGGTGAGAGTGTTAATCCCTGCTCGGAGGGAAGGTGGGGACACCCCCTTTGCCAAGCAGCCTTTTTTTCTCAGCCTGGGCCAACAATCTCTGCTTCTCTTGCTTTGTCTCTGGTCCGTCTTCTGGGGCCAGCTCACTTAGCTACGCGGCTGTTCGTCAGGCCGAGGCCTGGGTGGGCGCTGCCTCTTGCTGCTGCATTCGAATGTAGATGGACCATTTGACAAAGTGGGGGAGGTCTCTTTGGGGCTGAATGTTCTGTCTGTGCCAGAATTCTTGGGCCTTTTCTCAACCGGGATTTACCGTCATCTTGGCCTTCTGCTTCTTTACAACGCCAGGGGCCGCACCATCTCCTTTTCCTGTTCCAGTTTCCGTGGGTGTAGGCAGAACAGGTGGGTGAACTGTCCAGTTAAGCAAATGCCCGTTAATTAAGGCATTGAGGGGGGTCCTTTATGTTTACTTCAACTAGAAATAACTGAGGAATTTTATATTTCCAGCTCGGAAGAAAAGTTTTTTATGTGGTCTAAAGGAAAATTATTTTTGTCAACTTTAAGGTTGAAAACTAAGTGAATCTAAGAAACAGAAATGTTTAACCTTTTGATTTTCACAGATATTTTAAAGACCCATAGATGCTATAATAATCAAGTTTCCTGGCTCAAAGTAATATGCTTATCTTTGTTTTTCTGGTTTTTAAAAAAATTTTATTTATTGACTTCTTAGAAACATTGATTTATTTATGCATTAAGTAAATGCATAAATAAATCATTATTTATGATTATTCCAGTAATTGTTCCAATTATTTATGCATTCACTAGTTGATTCCTATATGTGACCTGATTGGGATTGAACCCACAACCTTGCTGTGTTGGGACGATGCTCTAACCAACTCTGAGCCACCAGGTCAGGGCAATAAGCTTATCTTTGAATTCAGAATTTTTTGCTTCCAAAAATGAGAACATATAAAAGTCTAATATCTCTCTTTATAAAACTTGTCAGTGGTAGGAAACAACGATACGAACACCTGGGTGGAAAAGTGCTGAAAATGCGTCTGTGAATACATTCTTGGGGGGGGGGGGGCACTGTCAGGTTTGGACTCAGTGTTTTAGAGGAAATGATGAAGCTCTCCAAACACCGAGGCAGCAGTTAGTGAATCGTCGAGTGTTTGGTCTGATTTTCTCCTCCAGATTCTTCACCTTAGTCTGCAGCCCGTGCTGGGACCACGGTCTTCCCTTGCCTCTTCCTGCACGAGGATATTCATGGTTTTCTTCAGTTGGACGATAGAAATCTTTTGACGATAACAGGCTTTCTCTTGGGCTGAAGTTTCCATGAAGATAAGGGACCATGAATGTCAATATCAGGACAGTGTCACTGATTGGACAGCCTTTCAGGCTCCATTTCTGCCCTGTCACAACGGTTCTGAGATCTGGCTTCCCGGCAGACACGCACGGTTCTCTCAGGCTGACCGCGCCCAGGCCCTGCTCTTCCCGGCAGCCCTGGGGCCGCCCGGCCTACCCACTCCCTTTTCTAAACCTTTCCAGCCCCCGAACCTTGACAGTGTGTTGTAATTTTATATTTTTGACTTAATAGTTAAAATATTATCCATATTCTACTGGCTTCTCTCTTCCTCTGTCAATAGTAACCTTTTTATTGATTTCAGGAGTTCCAGAAGATGTAGCTTCACAGTCTCTGGATCAAGAAGTTTTATTAAAAGTTAAAACTGAAGTTGAAGATGAGCTAAAATCCCTGGACAAGGAAATTTCTGAAGGTCTCTTTATTCTTATTTTCCTAGTTAATTAGAAGATTCTGTTTGTCCCGGTTCACTGTTGGTTTAACTGGTTTTTTCCAGTAGAGTGCTCCCAGCACCACACAGCCTCGTTGGTTCAGGACTGCATGGCGGGAATGAGTGTCCTCGTCTTCCCGTCCTGGGGGCATGTTTCTGAGTGGCCCCCGAGTGCACCCAGCAGTGCGGGTGCAGCCTGTGCAGTGGGCGGGCGATGGCCTCCACAGTCCTGTTGAGGGACGTGCCCCTCGCTGTGGTTTTGGCACCAGCACTGAGGGGCGGTGCCGGTGAACTGCGTTCAGTTTTGCACGTATCTGTGCTACTGTAGGAAGTCGTAACAGTGATGCGAGTGTAACTTTATAGCCATGCATTTCATACTTAACATTACACTATAAACTTAAAATAGTTGTTTTACTAACTACGTGAAATTCCGTATATTGAGTGATTGTTCCTCTCTTCCCTTATTATTGACAGGAACATTTGGGTTGTTTCTTGTTTTACCCTCCAAAAATAAAGATGCATTGGACATCCTTTTTTTTTTTTTAAAGATTTTGTTTTCTTATTTTTGGAGACAGGGAAGGGCGGGAGAGAAACATTGATGTGCTAGAGATACATCTAGGTTGCCTCTCACACACCCCAACCCAGGCATGTGCCTTGACTGGGAATCGAACTGGTGACCCTTTGGTTCCTAGGCCAGTACTCAGTTCACTGAGCCGCACCAGCCAGGGCAACTACATTGGACATGTTGCCCAATGATTTCTTTTATGGCTTTATTTATTTAAAAAAATTATTTATTTACTTTTAGAGAGAGGGAAAAAGAGGGGAAAGAAACGTTGCCATGCAAGAGAGACATCGATTGGTTGCCTCTCGAATGCCCCGCTTGGGGACCTGGCCTGAAACCCAGCTGTGTGTCCTGACCTGGAATCAAACTGGCGACCTTTTGGTTTGCAGGAAGATGCCCAACCTATTGGATGCCCAACACACCTGTAGCTATGTATTTTATAAACCGTAAAATCTACCCATTCGAAGTGTACAGTCCAACTGTACACAGTATGCAGCCCATCACCACAACCTAAATTTAGGACACGTGTAACATTCCAAAGAAGCACTGGACACGTGAGTGGTCGTGTCGCACGTCTGCTGGCCCCACCCCTGGCCCCACCCGGTCTGCTACTGTCTCTGCGTCGGCCTGTTCTGGGCAGACACACAAATGGAACCCTCCACTCTGGTCTGTTACAAATGCCTTTCGTGTAGCGTAGTTTTTCCAAGGGCCGTCCATGTGGTCGCATGTATCAGTGTTTCATTCCATTTTATGGTAGAGTAACATTCCATTGTGTGGGTGCCCCGCCTTTTGTTTGTCCATTCATCAGTTAGTGAACATTTAGGTCGTGTCCACTTTCTGGCTGTTACGTATGATGCTGCTATGAGCATTCCTGTATAGTTTTTGTGTGGATAGATATTGTCCAGTAGTTTTTAACAAGAAAAGTTATCAATCAGTTCCCTATTAGTGGAGAAGAATATGAATAGAGACAAGTAATCCAGAAACCTAATTTTAATCATTCGTATTGATTAAAGTGTACATTCTATTTGAATCCTTTGTCCACTTCTGGTCGCAGTACTTACACACAGTAAAACGAGCAAAAGGCCAAGAGAAGAGAGAGCAGCAAAGGCTGCACTGCACTCACCTCCTGGAGTCCCCGTATTAGCGAAGACAGGTCGCTGCGTCAGGGCAGTGAGGCTTGGTCAGACGGCCAGCCCTTTGCATCCTTCTTGGAGGAAGCACTTCAAAAAGAATAGTATACTCCACTCAAGTAAAGGTGACAGCCTTCCAGGAGCAAGCCTTAGACTAGTGCAGTAAATACTTTATGTAAGGAGATTGTTGATAATTCTTGGGAGTGGGTGCCTCTGCCTCCTTTCCTGGGAATTCATGCCCTGAGCCTGGTGTCCACGGGAACCTAGCGATCCCGCCTGTCTGCAGGCTGGGAGAGAAGGGCGCACCACGGGACGCAAGACAGGAGCAGGAAGCAGAGGAGAGGCTGGCTGTGTGAGCGGAGGAGGACAGGCTGGGACGCTGCTTCCACGGGCGGCTTCTGTCCTTGTAGCCTTCCTGGTTTTGACACGTGTCCATGGACATGGCAGTGGAGCTACAAAGTGCGTTTTGGAAAGAAACTGCTCTCCCAGCTGCTGTAGCTTAGTAGACTGAGCGGTGGCCTGGTAACCGAAAGGTCACTGGTTTGATTCCCAGTCAGGGCACAGGCCTGGGTTGTGGTTTGGGTCCCTAGTGGGGGATGTGTGAGAGGCAACTGATCGATGTTTCTTTCCCTCTCTCCCTCCTTTCCCTGCTTTTTAAAAATAGATAAATAAAATCTTTAAAAAGAGAATGAACTAACTGAGTAATTTCTCTATGGCGGAATAAACTGATTTGAGTCTGGTTTAAGAAGTTCCACCTTTACAAAGGTAAAAACAAAATAATGAGAGGGATGATAAATCTCATTGGTCAGTTTTTTAAAGTTTTTCACTTAGCCCTGGTTGGCGTGGCCCAGTGGATTGAGTGCTGGCCTGCAACCCAAAGGGTCGCAGGTTTGATTCCCAGTCTAGGGCACAGGCCTGGGTTGTGGGCCAGGTGCCCAGTAGGGGTTGTGTGAGAGGCAACCACACATTGATGTTTCTCTCTTCTTCCTACCTTTCTTCTCCTCTCTAAATTAAACAAATAAAAATCTTTAAAAAATTTTTTTTCATTGATTGATTTTAGAGAGAGAAAGTGGGGAGAGAGACATGGATTTGTTGTTCCACTTCCTGTATGTGCCCTGACCGGGGACCAGACCCACAAACTTGGCATATGGGGACAACGCTGTAATCAGCCGAGGCACCCCGCCGAGGCTCATTTATCATTCTTACATGACACTGGTCTGTGGTAATGTACTACATTGGTTTGTGTATTTTAACATTTCAGTGTAGTCTTTTTCTTTTCTTAATACTAAGATTTTCTTTAAAAATCTTCCCTTTAAGAAAATCTCCAACTTTAGGGCCTATTACCCAGTTTTGTGTTCCAGGGAAGATTAATACCCCGTAGTGATGGTCAGGCGTCCCGTCCCCTGAGCTTCCACCGCACAACTTTCGATGCTGTGGACTCAGTCCAGTTCCTCTTGCCCTGTCTTCAGCCTTCCCCGGCACAGGCTTCGACCGGCACACTTCTCCAGTGTTCAGCCCCGCCAACCCGGAGAGCTCCGTGGAAGACTGCTTGGCTCACCTTGGAGAGAGAGTGTCCCGAGAGCTGCACGAGCCTCTGCAGAAGGCGCTGCAGGCGCTGCTCAGCCAGTGAGTGACCCTGCTGCGCGGGCCAAGCGGTCTCCGCACTGTGCGCGCTGCTCTGCCTGGTCAAGGCTCTGCTTTACGTGAACGGTGTCACTTCTTGTGTCACACACTTTGCTTTGCTTTTCCTTTTGCTTTCCCAAGCATCTCTGTTTGTGGCTTGAGTGACAGCTTTTGCATCAGAGAAGTGATTTAACCCTCCCCACCGGCATTCGAGTTGTGTTTCCTATTGAGCTGCTTCAGCAGGGGCCCTCCCTGAGCTGTAAACACGGCTGTTCACTTGTCCTGACCACGCTCTGCCGTTCTCGCCAGCGGCCAGTGCTGAGGTGAGGGCTGGGCTGTTAGGCCTTGTAACGGGGAGTCCCACTCTGTGTCTCCGGTGTCCCAGCGTTGCCAAACTTCGGGACTGCAGCCCTGCCCGTGGGAGTCCTGCCGTGTCCTTAAGGTGGGAACTTCTCCCCTCGCTATGCTTCTGACTGTCAGAGCTAAAAGCAGGAAGCTCACAGAGAACGTATATTAAACTAGAACCACATTACTTACTGTAGATCTTAAAAATTCACTTCCCCTAATTCTTGGCTGAGAATCACTATTGAACTGGTATTGGTGAGAAAAAAAAAACATTTGTTTTAGTGAAGACCGACAACTCTCCAAAACAGGATAACTGTTCTTTCTCTCAAAGGGCCAAAATTCAGAAGCTACATTACTGTGTAGTAAGGTCATTCCTTACTTTCACCTGGAAGTTATATGTTGCCATGTGTTAGAAGGCAGCACCGTGGGCTGAAGGAGAACTTGGTGTGTTTCTGCCTGTTCGGGTGGCACGAGCACACGTGAACCCAGGTTGCACCTGGGAAGGGATGCGATGGAGCCACGTGTGGGTTTGCTCACCTCACACTTGGGGGGTTTAGGCCTCAGTGTGGGAGGGAGGTCACATTGTGGGTGTTAGGAAGTGCAGCCTAATTGGGAGTTTGGAGGTGCGGCAGTTCTGGTGGGGGACACTTGGAGCCCTGTGGCCCATAGAGGGGAAGACAGGTGGGTGGGCGGTGGTCAGGGTCACCCCACTGCTCTTGAACCAGGGCAGCCGTGCTTCCACAGACATTGTCTGGGGCTGTTTCACAAACTGAAGACAGTGCCTGAATAGACCAACCTTGTAAAAGCTACTGGGACTGGGGGTCAAATAAGACAAAGAAATTCTGTTTCCAATTTTGATACAAACTCTCAATTTATCCATCTGTTAATTTTAAATTTATTAGGGTATTTATAAGCTCTCTGAAGAATAATATTATATAGTATTTTTTAAAAGCATTATTTTTGAAGTCCTTTTTATAATGTACAAGAAAAATGGATTATCTTCCCACTGCCGAGTAAGTGGTCATTTTAAAAATCTTGTCTTTGCCCTGGCTGGTGTGGCCGGTGGATTGCATGCCGGCCTGTGAACCAAAGGATCTCAGGTTAAATTCCCAGTCAGGGCACATGCCTGGCTTGTAGGGAGGGGGAGTCCCCAAGTAGGGGGCGCACAAGAGGCAACCACACATTGGTATTTCTCTCGTTCTTCCTCCCTTCCTCTCTCTCTAAAAATAAATAAAACCTTTAAAAAAGGGTTGTCTTTGATGAATATTTATTTTGCTTTTTTCCCTCTAAACCCTAAATACAGATACAATTATTTTTGAAATTGGTACTTCTGATTGTACATCAAAGTTAGGCCCCTGAATAAATTTTCTTTAGAAATCTTTTTTTTTTAGCATTGCATTTATTTTCAGTATTTTTCTTCTACTCAAAGATAAATATTTTTAGTGTTAAGATGTTTTATTTACAGAATCTAAAGGATATCAAATGGCAAATAGTAAAGCTGAGCTCTTTTGTTTTTGAAGGATTATCGAGCCTCTTTTAGCAGTCAAGAAGAAATGCTCTGTTAGATTTTAGCCAGTTTTGAAGAAGATAATTGTGATGATCAGAATTATACTTTTGATTTGGTTTGCAGGTCGGTACTTAATCCACTGAGCCACACCATCCAGGGCTAGAATTATACTTTTGAAAGTCATTATTGCTATTACTAATACCTTGAAAATAACTCCCTGATGATGAACCAGAATTATTACCTGAGTTCTTGGCAATATTTTGTACGGTGGAAAATGACCAACACCTCCTTCTGTTTGTTCATTGGGATTTAATCCCTACCTCTTCCTGTAGAGGGAGTCTTTTCAAAATGTTCCCCCTACACCCCACCCCGGTTTTCAAAATGTATTTTTTTGGTGGTGGGTGGGAGAGGGATAGGAAGGGAGAAAAAAAGGGAGAGAAACATTGATCAGTTCCCTTGCACACACTCTGACCAGGGACAACACGCAACCCCGGCATGTGCCCTGACTGGGAATTGAATCTGCAGCCTTTCCGTTTACAGGATGATGCTCCAACCGAATCACACCAGCCAGGGCTCCCCTTTTTCTTTGCTGTGTTTCAAATAGCTCATCAGATAGGTCTGATTTTTCAGCTGCTTATTTTTCTGTGTATTAGATTTCCTTTGAATGTTTTCATCTGCTGGATTGTTTATGTGCATATATGTCTGTACATACAGTGTTTCAAATCATTCCATTCTGAAGGAGGCCAAAGGACTTGCGCCTGATAGACAAACTACCCAACTACCGGGAAGGCCCACTGTGACGCATAGCAGCCTCTGGCAGCTCAGGAAAGGAAGTGCAGGGACAGAGATGTGCAAGTAGAGCTGCAGGGGCTCTGGGTAGGGGCCGTGCAGTGTCTGCGTAAGTTCAGGCATCACACACGCGTACCTTTCAGTCTGAGGCTTCTAAAAAGTACTGCTCTTACACTTCGGTGGGAATGTGCTATCAGCAAGGTATCATTATTAAACAGGTCCTCCCCGGTACCTCAGTGTTGCTATAGAATTGATGTTATTTTGACTTGTATAAAAGAATACCTGTGTCATCAGAACATTTTTTAATACCAGATTTCCTTTTCAAAAATTGTTACTTTTAAAGATTTTATTTACTTTTAGGGGAAGGGGAAGGGAGGGAGAGAAACTTCAATATGTGGTTGCCTCTTGAGTGGCCCCACTGGGGACCTGGCCTGCAACCCAGGCATGTGCCCTGACTGGGAATCGAACCAGTGACCTCTTGGTTTGCAGGCCGGCACTCAATCCACTGAGCCACACCAGCCAGGACTGGATGGATCTTAAAATTAGACTCCTCTCCTTTTTATGTATATGTTAATAATTTGTCCACAAAAAGGGGAAGTTAATTTTATTAAATCTATTACCCAAGCTTTTGACACCTTCGTATGTTACTTTTTTACCAAGTATTGTCCTCGTTAATTTGCACCAGAAGCCCAGACTTGGAAGGCAGTACTCGGGGCCCCTCAGTGAGTCACTGAGTGATGCTGCTGTCGCTCTGTGCCCTGGGCTCTGGGGTCAGAGGCTTGTTGCTCCACCCTGCAGGGTTTTCGGTCATGAGACTCCAAGTTAAAAATAGAGTTCCACTTGTCAGCTGTGTTTATTCCAACTTGTTATATCCGCAGTTTGAAAAGTCTTCCAGTGCCATGTCTCTTTAATTTTTAAATATTTTAGGGTTTTTTGCCTTTAAAAAATTAAAATTATGCTTTTAATTTTATTAAGGTTACTTTATTATTTGATCCCATATTAATAATCCAAGTGTTTGTGTTTATCTACAACATAGAAATCCAATGGGATAAGTCTGAAGCAGTTGGAAAACATTATTATTCACTGTTACTTGTTATGTGAACTGCTGTCCCAAACTGGTAGATGGGCATCAGTCTCTAGGGGACACAGAGAAAAGTGCACACCCCGTGGTAACAACCCCATCCATCCCCTAGAGAGCAGAGGTTGAATAACCTTTGTTACTTTTGCAAAAAGTTCGTACAACATCAGCATGGTGACTGTATATTTTTTCATCTGGAAATGTCGGGTTTTTCTGATTAGTGACACAGAACTGTTAAAAACGATTCCTGCAGGCCAGTGACGTACCAGGCTTACCGGGAGTGCACGCTGCAGGCCACCGTCCATGCCAGCGGCTGGGACAAGGTATGGACCAAACTACCTTTTCTCTCACAAGATTTCAGTGTGTTGGTGGTGAGGTACGGAGGCGTTGCAACAGCAAATGAGAGAACAGAGCTCTTTACTTAATGTGTAAATCCAACTGTGAAGCAGGTGTTTCTGATTAAATCGGTTTTTAGATTAACGCTACCAAGTCCTGCTGGGCCCCAGACTGCGTGTCCTGTCGTTCGCGCCGTGCGTTTCCACCTGCCACTAGCTTCCGTCACGACTTCATCTCTGCGGCAGGCAGGGCGCTGCTCCCGACCTGTGTCTGTGAGCACGTGCGTGGGTGTGCCTCCGCAGGGAAAGCACAAGGGCTTCCTGTCGGGAGGTGGCATGTCCTGCTGCTCTCGGGCCTGGTCACATGCCAAGCAAAGACCCTTTGGCGTCCAACTTGTGGCTCGAAAGGGAATGACCAAGAGGTGCGCTCGCTTGGCCATGGTGCTGACGCCACCTCCCATTCATTTTTCAGACTGAAACGTAATTTACGTGCCATACGATTTACCCATCTACAGGGTCCTAGTGTGTTCACAGAGGCGTGCCACTGTCCTCACTAATTCCAAAATGTTTTTTTACCCAAGAGACACCCCAGTCCTCTCCCACCCAGTCCCCTGCCCCCTTCCTCAGCCCTGAGTTTGTCTTCTGGATGTCGAATGGAAGTTCGGTCTCATCGTTGGTGACTTCAGCCTCTTGTCACATGTAGACTTCCTCTCCGCTTCCTCTCCCTGACTCACATGCTACCTGTCCCCTGGGGCTCTGCTGGCTGTGTCTCTGAGGTGCCGTTTCGCAGGTGCCTGCCCGTGGAACAGGCAGGTGGATCCAGAGGCTGGGGTGTGGTCAGGCTCCGTCTTTGGCCACAGCACTTCTGTGTTCTGTGTTGCTGTTCTGTGTTTCCTGTTGCACTTCACTGCGGAGTGGCAATACACAGTGTCTTGTTATGTCTTCAGTTTTATTTTGAAGCAGATTGACCAGAGACTTCCAACCTAATTGATGGATTCGGTGCAAATACAATTTGTGGCATGCCCTAGAGTCGTTGAGACATAGATTGGTTAAATCGTAGACCGATAGGTCAAAAGATCATCCCAGATCTCTCTTTCCTGGAAGGGACCCGTGGAGCTGTCTGGTAGACTTTCTTTCTGCCTGGGCAGGCTCACTCGGTCGTTAGTGAAGGGGGATGTCGTCAGCAGAATCTAACCTGGTGGAAGGAGACACCACATGGTTTGTGTAAGTAGACAATGGAGATAGTTCTGTTTCAAGGTCAAAGATACCTTAGAATTCTATTGCAAAAGCAATTGAAGAAGAAGGGATTTCTATGTGTTGTGGGGATGACTGCTCTTCAGTACGGAAAAGACAAATTCAAAGGGTAAGATTATTTGGTGGCTTTTAAGTCCTAGAATTACAAGCAGTTTGGGCTTTGTAGGTGTGGACACTTGGGTATCCAGTTTTGTTCCAATGTGTTTTCAGTCCTGTGGGAGGGGAGCCCAGAAACATGCCAGGTGTACAGATGGTATGAAATCCTTGTGCACAGTCGGCTTCCCAGTGGGTGGGGCTCAGTCATGGGAACTCATGGAATTTTGTGTCTAGTCACCAAGGTGAGAGAACAGGGGGCCTCAGCAACACAGAGGCCATCTGAGCTGTGCTAGAAGTCATGACGTAGGCCCCTGAAAAGCAGCATGTCAGCCAGGTAAAGCAGACACAGCACCACTGCCAGGAGTCTCATGAGGCCCGTCACCTGCACTGAGGGACCCAGCAAAGGACACACACGTGGTCAGCACCGCGTAGGGATCACCCTGTGCAGAACTTACTGAAGATCTGCAGACTCAGCCCCAAAGTGCAGAGACTGAGAGGGACTGTGACTGGGGACTAAAACTGAGACGGTGGTGAAAGCGGGTTACAGTGTTATCTCCATGTAACTATGGAGACCCGTGGGCCTCAGCTTTGTGACGTGGGCGAGGTAAATGGAAACAAGGACGTGTAAAGATTGTTTCACGTAGCCGGTGTAAAATGTTTGTAGCTAATTTCCCTAAGAGGTAACAGAGCTTGGACATGAATAATTTTTAAATGTTGCATACTTTGGATTATTACGGAAAATTTGAATCTTTTGAGGTGCAGCACATCCCAGGCCTCTGAAGTGGAGAAGATGGTCTGAGTCCACAAGGCTGACTCACAAGCTGTTGCTCACTGCTCGTGCTAAGACAAAATACTGGGGCTGGATGAGCAAGCTGTGTTTCTTTTAGTATGATGTGGTTTTTTAATCATGGGAAAAGCCTAATGCATTCTTTGTAGTCCTATACCCTCCATTAGTATTAAGAAGAGGTTTTTAATGTATTTGGGGTGGAGCTGTTTTAGAACATCGATTCCCTCGGGGCTGCTTCTACTTAAAAGCCAAAGAATATTAGTATGAACTTGCTGGCTTTCTTTTTGTCTTCTTCTGCAGAAATATTTTGTAATTTCTCACTTTATACTTTGGCAGGTAAGTAGCAAGGAACTGGAATTGGGTTAATTTCCTTTCACATTTCTTTTTCAGTCAATTGGGTATTTCTTGATATTTTAGAAAAAAGATTGCATGCTGATGGATAACTGAAAATGCTTAGTTTTATTTCCAGTATGCGATTTTGGGGGCGAAGCCAAGAGACTCTAGTGAGTTTCAGTCATAAATTTTAATGATTTTTCAAATACTGAGCCACAAGGTTGTTAGGAATAATAATGTTTTCTCTGGGTTTTGACGACTTCTATAAGATAGCTCATCATTTTAAAAGTTCTTATTTTCAAATATGCAGGGGTTGGCAAAAGTAGGTTTACATTTTATATAAAAAATAATACAAAAATTAATAAAATAGCTCTGGCTGGTGTAGCTCAGTGGATTGGGCATAGGCTGCGGACCAAAGGGTCGCTGGTTCCATTCCCAGTCAGGGCACATGCCTGGGTTGTGGCCAGGTCCCCAGTAGGGGGCACATGAGAGGGAACCACACACGGATGTTTCTCTCTCTCTCTTTCCCTCTCCCTTCTTCTCTAAAAATAAATAAATACAATCTTTAAAATTTTTTATTTAAAATATTTTTAAAAATTAATAAAATATTGATATTTTAATAATAAAATATTTTAATAAATAAAAATATTTTTAAAAATTAATAAAATAATACAAGAATAAAACTGTTTTGCATACTCACAACTGTAAACTTACTTTTTCCTACCCCAGAATAGTAAAAGCACGGCATGAAGTGCCCAAAGTAGAGAGAGGCGCACAATGAAAAACGTTTTCTGCCAGCTCCCTGGTTCTGTACTCAGGCCACCACCATGACCGCTTTCTTGTGTATTTGCCCAGAGATACTGTCGGATTATATAAACACATACACTTGTGTACTTTTTTACACAAAAGATAATATTATCGTACACACTTTCCAAGATCTTGCTTTTTTCACTGAAAGTAAATGTTGGTGATTGGGTGTTGACAGTCGCCCAACCGGAGCCGTCCCAGGCAGCTGTGTGTGGGGGCGGAGTTCATGGGTGTCTTCGGGAGTCTTCGCCACACCCACCAGCATGGTGGGTTTTGTATCATGGTTATTACTGACACCCTCAGGCAGCGAGGGTCAACCTTTGTCATCTCATGGCACACATAAATGAACTCTTAAAATTCTGCAGCGCACCAAAAGATGTATTTTTTTGCTGATCTCACAAAAAATCGTTATCATTCATTCACAGCAGATAGCTATTGTTGTGTTGGCTGCTGTCATTTTCTTATCTGACAGTCTGAGGGAAAAAGAGGTCCATGCCCCTGACTCAGTTAGTTATTTCCTGTTTTAAAAATTCTTGCTGGTTGAACACTGCTGCCCTAAGGTATAAAACCTGTATATATTATACACAAAAATTCTAGCAGGGGTCATTGTTTTCTTTCCTTGTTGTAATAAAAGTGAAACTCCACAATGATGCATCTGAGCATAGTCTCAGTAGAATGAACTGCAGGAATTGCCATTCATGTCTTACTCTCTCATCTTCTCATCCAAGATTTTGGTGCCTCTGGTTCTGCTGCAACAAATGCTGTCGGAGCTGACAAGGCGCGGTCAGGAGCCCCTCAGTGCACTGCTGCAGTTCGGGGTGACGTACCTGGAGGACCACGCGGCAGACTTCATCATCCAGCAGGGCGGCTGGGTACGCGCTACGGCTTTAAGAATCTGTTGTTTTTTTTTAAATCAGCATAGATTTAATACCGTGAATATTATCATTCTGTTACGAACATCCTTGCACGTAGGTACCAGGGTTGCTCTGGGTCTGTGCTTCAGAGTGGAGTTTCCAGGTTCAAGCACACAGGTGTGTTCTGGTTTAAAAGACAAGGCCAGAGTGCTCTCCACCTTTCCTTTGTTGGCAGTGTATGAGGGTTTTTGTTACTCTACATCTTTCCTAACATTTAATATTGTCAGACTTAACTTTTAGTCATTTTTTAAAATAAGATTACTTTGGAATAATTTCAGATTTATAAAAAAGTTATAAAGTGTTTCTCTATGCAGTTCACACAGTTTTCCCTGGTTTAACATCGTGTGTAACTAGGGCACCTTTGTCAAAATGACTGAATTTCCATGTTTTTATGCTCCGTAAATTTCTTGAGGTCTCGTATTAATTCTGATTATTTCTAGGTTCCCTTGAGTTTTCTACAGAGAAAACCCCACACCCTCTGTACGTAGTGATAGTTTTTCCTTTGACAAACTGTCTTTTTTAAAACATGGCACTAACCAGGATCTGTGGCGTGACAGGAACATCCGCGGAGGCCACCTCATCTTCCTCCTGACGCTAAAATGAGTGCTTGCGATGGCTCCCCCCGAGTTGTGCCAGTCTCGGTGGGTGGGGCTGGCCTGTGGGTTCTCCTGTTCGGTCTCAGTGTGAAGGGGGTGTCGGTTTCATAAAAGCAGCTGGAGTTGGGAAGACCTTTTCTCTGCTCGGGAGCAGTTGATGTGAGGTTGAAATTACTTGTGTCTCGCTCCCTGTGATGTGCCTGCCAGAACCACCTGGTGTTTTCTCCAAGGGAAGGTTTCTGGTTTTTCTTGTCAGTTTTCGATGATATTTCTAGGATCCTAGAAAATCTTTAGTTGTGTTGGCATAGAGCTGCTTATAATACCCTTCTTTATTTTAGAGGGGGAAGGACCGGGGGTTTTTATGTCTGCATTCTCTTACACTACTTACTTTTAAAAAATCACTTTGTTTTGGAGAATTTCAAACACCTCTGAAAAAGATGGTGTCGTGTGAGGAGCCCGTCACCGAGGCCCAGCGTCCTTGACTCACGGCCAGTTACGCTTTATCCACACTCCACCTGCTTCCACGCTTTTTACTCTTTATCCTCACCCGAGGGTGTGCTTGTTGATTTTAGAGACGGGGGGGGGGCGGGGGGGGACACCAAGGTGAGAGAAACGGCCGTTGGCTGCCTCCCGTAGGTGCTGGTCTGTGTATTGAGTCCAGTCACATGGGACGACACGCCCACCAGCTGAACTGCACCACCAGGGTACTTCTGTTAATAGTATTTTGAAGCAAAATTCAGACATGTACAATTTTATCTATAAAAATTTCAGTATAGGCCCTGGCTGGTGTGGCTCAGTGGATTGAGCACTGGCCTGCAAACCAAAGGGTCACTGGTTGGGTTCCCAGTCAGGGCACATGCCTGGGTTGCAGGCCAGGTCCCCAGTAGGGGGCACATGAGAGGCAATCACACCCGGACGTTTCTCTCCGTCTCTTTTTCTCTCTTCCTCCCCTTCTCTAAAAATAAATTACAATCTTAAAAAAAAAAACCTAAAGAAAAAAGAAAATATTTTTAAAAGTTGCAGTATGGGTTTCTAAAAAATAAAGGCTCTCTAAACAATACCATTACTGCATCAAAAAAATTATTTTCATATCAAATGTCTTGTTAGTATTCAAATTTCCAAATGTCTCAAAACATCCTAGAAAAAAATCCTTTTTAAATCTCTGTGACATAAGGAGCTGTATTTCCCTTTGTATTTCTATTATTATTAATTCTTTTTGTTTTTATTTAAAATCTTAGAGCGGCCAGGATATATTTTTTCCTCATGTCTTGTTTTTGTTTAATAACTATAAATTCAAGCTTAGGGAAGTTACCCTTTCTCTAAAAAATCAAAACCACCAAACTATTGATATCATTTACTAACCTTATCTTGTTTTAAAGGGGTAGTCATCATTGCAAGAGTAAGGTTTTTACAGGGTGGGGCAAAAGTAGGTTTGTAGTATTTGCATAGAGAATAATACAGTAATTAATGAATAATGATACGAGAATAACCTGTTTCGCATACTCGCAACTATAAACCTGCTTTTGCCCCACGCAGTACTGCAAGTCAAGTCCTGTGTCGGTAAAAGACTGTTCACAAGATTACAATTTGTTGGTGACCTTTGTGGAAAAGAGCCCTTGAAAATTTTTGAACAGGAGCACCTCTGTGAGGAAACTGTGAAGTATTTTACAAGCCAAAAGGGAATAGAGTTAGTAAAATGCCTGCACAGAGTTTGAATAAAGTACGGGGGTGGGGAGAGTCGCTGGGACTGGGACAATGAAACTGGGTGGCAGGGTGGGTCGCACTGGCTGAGCCTCTGCTTCAGATGAGCTGGCCCACAGTGCCCCCCTTCCCAGGCCCCTGCTTTCCAGGGAGCTGGGGTGTGTGCAGGCCCGGCTTGGAAGGGCCCTGGAGTGAGCGCCTTAAGGGATGCTGCAGGGAAAATACCCCCTTTTGTCATGGCCCCACACATCCTCATCCTTTAATTGTGGTTTGTATTTATTTATGGAACACTATTTTTACCAGTCATCGCAGACGGCCAGGCTGGTGGTTTGTGTGGATTGTGCCACATGCCAGTGACAGTGACAGCGAGGGAGCGGCTTCCAGCCAGTTCCACTCGATGAACTCCCCACAGCAGGCACTTTCAGAGACAGAGGGCGGATGACTGGCTGCCTGGGGCTGAAGGGGGAGACTAGGGAATGACTGCTAAAGGTTTCTTGTTTTGAAATGATGGAAATGTTCGAGAATGTGAGAGTGGTGAAATGTTACTGCACAGCATTGTGAACATACTAAAAACCACAGAGTGTACATCTGAAAATGGTGAATGTTAGGTTATGTGAATGCTACGAAGGTAGATGTCAATACTAAAAAAAGAACAATGTTCAGACGGTGTGTTTCTACACCCTGCCCTGCTGTTTGCTTGAGAGACTCATGCAGGAGGAATTCGGGAGGTTGGTTCCCCCCCCCACATTCGTTATTGCCCAGCTTCTGTGGAGATGGTTGAATGTCTGCTAATCTGAGGTTCTCAGGAGGTAGCAGAGCCCATTATATCACATCTTTTTTTAAAAAATGGAACTAGATCTTTTTTGCTAAGTCTTGACCATTGTAAAAAAAAATAACAAAAGATGCTTCCCTTGTGACCCTGTCCTCTAGAAACAGCCCTGTGTTCGTTCAATGTAGGGCACTGTCGTTTCTACAGAGACCGAGTTTTTCAGTTTTGTGGTGTCTCTCTTTGGAAGAAATGAGAGAGGAGGGAAAAGTTGAATCGCCAGGGAAGGTTATTATTTCAAGCTGCTTTTACTTTTTAAATTTCTTCTATCTAGATGTATTTTATTTTACTTTTTACTTCTGTTAGCATTTATTTTTTCATGAATTTTCTCCTGGGCAGTAAGTTTTTGTTTCTTCACGTTCTTCTGTCCAACCTCCTTTCTGCTTTAGGAGCCATCACTCTTTTCCAGTAGCATCATCTCCATGTGGCCGGGGGCTCTCCAAGCACCATGCCACTATTCTGGGAGCTTTGTTCACCAGAGTGTGCTCAGTGACCAGAGAGTGTGCACCCTCGAGTTCAGCAGCCCCCCCCCCGCATTTTTACGCATGCGCAGCAAGAATTCAGCACTGTTTGGGGGCCAGTGACCCTGCTTCCAGCCCCACAGGTTGGACTGTGTGCATCTGTCAACTCCACCATTGTGAGTGACAGGCCGGCACACACAGGTTCTGTAAAATGACATCCTTCAGATGCTTGGTGGCATTTTGAACATGCACACCTTTGATGGCCTAGAAAGTTTCAGGAGTGTTCTTGAAGTGAACGCAAGGATTTGAACCTCTCAATTTGCATGATTTTGTGGCATGACCTCTGAAAAGGAATTGCCAAATCAATTTCTGAGGTTACCTCAGGCTGCTTACGGGAAGAGAGCTAGATGGCAATTAGACTGGCTCTGTTCCCTCCTCACACCTCCTGAAACAACAGCAATCAAAATAAGAACGACAAAAATGACAGTGAAAAATAGCATCATTTATTGAGTGCTTACTGTGTACAAGCACTGGCTGAGCACTATAAATACTACATCTAGTTCTATGACAGTTTTATTAAATCATCATTCCCATTTTGTTTATGTAGAAATTAAAGTTTAAAAAAAGTTAAGCAAGACATTCATTCATTACTGCCTAGCTGGCTTGTGTGGAAGTGGGATTCAAGCTACTTCTTCTTTTACTACAATCACTTTTTTTTTTTTTTTTTTATCATCAGTGTGTGGTTGCTTCTCACACACCCCCTACTGGGGACACGACTTGGGCCACAACCCAGGCATGTGCCCTGACTGGGAGTCAAACCAGCAACCTTTTGGTTTGCAGGCTGGTGCTTAATCCACCCAGCCACACCAGCCAAGGCCAAACACTACATTTTTTAATTACTGTGCTGGTTTGCCTCTCTGCTTATATTCATTGCCGGACAATTTGATGCCTGTTGGGACCTCTTGAGATTGCAGCAGGATCGGGGTGAATGGGGGGCACTTGGAATGTTGGTTGACATTATGGTCCTGTGATTTGCCTAGTTGTATTTCTGGCTTTTTTGTGGAGTGGTTAGAGGAACTACTGGTTTACATTAGATCCTTAGTGTACACAGAAAGTTTCTGGTCTTGATTAAAGAGTAAAATTAGTCTACCTAGTCACACTCTCTGCGGCATTTGAGTACCATCCAGACTTTCTGTGAAACTCTGCATCTCTGACATGACACTCTGCTGGCTCGCTTCCTGTCTTTCTGATCATGTCCAACTTCTGGGCTCCCCTAGCACCCCGTGCACACACCTGTCTGAAATTCGATCACATTGAAGTTTGTTACTGGCCATTTATTTATTTATTTTTAAAGGGAGGGGAAAGGAGGGAGAAAGAGGGAGAGAAACATCCATGTGTGGTTGCCTCTTGTGTGCCTCCTACTGGGGACCTGGCCTGCAACCCAGGCCTGTGCCATGGCCGGGTATTGAACTGGGGACCCTTTGGTTCGCAGGCCAGTGCTCAATCCACTGAGCTACACCAGCCAGGGCCACATGCCAGTCTTTACATCTAGACAGTGAATTTTTTATGAACAAGAATTAGGTCTCTTTCTTTCTTATGACTCTGGTGCCTAACACAGCACCTACTAGTCCATAGGCACACAGTGGGTCCTGTTAAACTAAACTGTTAAATGTGAAAATGAAAACTGACACTATTTGCTTTTAGCTAGAGTCCTGTTTCTTGTTTCCCTGACTGTTGTGTTGTAGCGAAGGCATCATGGACTAGCCACTTCTCCTTTTCCTGTTGAATTGAGTTCATATTGCTTAGTTCTGTCACATTCCTCCAGTCCTGTCATAACTGAACTTTCTGTTCTTCTTCACATGAACTGTACACTAACCTAGGCTATTTCCTGTCCCTTTTCCTCTTTCTGTGCGTCTGCTGGTATTGTACCTTCTTTTTTTTAAAATTTTTTTATTGATTATGCTGTTACAGTTGTTCTATTCCCCCTTTATTCCCCTCCACCCTACCCCCCATCCCCACCATCACCCCCCCTTTAGTTTATGACCATGTGTCTCAAGTCCTTTAGATTCTATATTTCCCATGCTATTCTTGCCCCCCCATCTATTTTCTATCTACTGTCTATGCTACTTATTTTCTGTACCTTCTCCACCCTTCTCCTCCTCCCACTCCCCTGTTGCTAACCCTCCTTGAGATCTTCATTTCTATGTTTCCACTCCTGATCTAGCTGTCCTTTTAGTTTGCTTTCCTTTTAGGTGTGGTTGTTAATAACTGTGAGTTTGTTGTCCTTTCACTGTTCATGTTTCTTTAACTTCTTTTTCTTAGATAAGTCCCTTTAACATTTCATATAATAAGGGCTTGGTGATGATGAACTCCTTGAATTTGATCTTATCTGAGAAGCACCTTATCTGTCCTTCCATTCTAAATGAAAGTTTTGCTGGATAGAGCAATCTTGGTTGTAGGTCTTTAGATTTCATGACTTGGAATACCTCTTTCCAGCCCCTTCTTGCCTGTAAGGTCTCTTTTGAGAAATCCGCTGACAGTCTGATGGGGACTCCTTTGTAGGTGACTGTCCCCTTATCTCTTGCTGCTTCTAGGATTCTCTCCTTTATTTTAATCTTGGCTAATGTAATTACGATGTGCCTTGGTGTGTTCCTTCTTGGGTCCAATGTCTTTGGTACTCTCTGAGCTTCCTGGATTTCCTGGAAGTCTATTTCCTTTGCCAGATTGGGGAAATTCTCCTTTATTATTTGTTCAAATGTTTTCCACTGGTGGCTGTGCCTTTCCCCCTTCTGGTACCCCTATAATTCGGATGTTGGAGCATTTAAAGATGTCCTGGAGGTTCCTAAGACTCTCCTCATTTCTTTGAATTCTTGCTTCTTGACTCTTTTCTGTTTGGCCATTATTTGCTTCCTTCTGGTCCACTCCATTGATTTGAGTCCCAGTTTCCTTTTCATTGCTATTGGTGTCCTGTGCAATTCCATTCATTTCAATTAGTTTCGCCTTCATATATTTGTCTAATTTGTCGGTATAATCAACCAGTTCTGTGAGGATCCTGATCACCAATGTTTTAAACTGTGTGTCTGAGAGTTTTGCTATTTCTTCATCGCTTAGATCTATGGGCTCTGGGGCTCTGAGATCCTCCTGCGCCATTCTTGGTCTGTTCGGGCCCTTTAAATGTGAGAAGCGGCGCCTTGGATTCCCAGGTCGCTGGGTTGTGACGCTGTATGTGGGGGCGTGGTCAGAGCGGGGAAATGGCGACCTCCTCTGCCGCTTCTCACAGCTGGGTGAGGATCAGCGCCTTAGGTGGTTCACCTGGGCCGGGCCACTCAGAGTCGCTGGGTTATGACGCTGTATGTGGAGGTGGGGTGAGAGCAGGGAAATGGCGGCGCCCTCCACTGCCGCTTGCCGTGGGGACCTGCCGGCCCGGTCCAACCGCCCACTCCCTCGCCTGTCCACCCTCGCACAAATGCGCGACCTCAGTCAACACGCAGCCCCGGGCCCGGCTGTCTCCCCCGCGGTCGCTCGCCTGGTTGCTCGCTGGGTCGCTCACTAGGTCTGACCCTGCACCTGGATTCCGCGGGCCTGAGTGTGTCTGGCCGAGTCCTCCTGTGCAACCCTGCTCCGCCAGCCGCTGGTTTCGCCCCTTACAGGTCAGGCTGAAGAATTTGTTGTTAACGGACTTCCGAGAAGTTCAATTTTCCGTGTTCTGGCTGTGTTTTCTGTTGCTAATATTTAGTTTTCTCTAATCTTGGTTGTGTGAGAAGGCACTGCACATCCACCTATGCCTCCATCTTGGCGGAAGTCTGGTATTGTACCTTCTGTGTGGCTTTCACCACGCACGCTTTCCTGACCTTCAGATGTCAGGAGGATGTAGACGCTGGTCCTCCCATAACACTTTCGGTCACCTCCCTGCACTCTCCAGCCTGCACCAAAGAGTCGTTTCTCCATCTGAGCTTTTTCTTTTAAAGGTTTTTATCTGTTTATTTTTAGAGGAGAAGGGAGGGAGAAAGAGAGGGAGAGAAACATCACTGTGTGGTGCCTCTCCTGTACCCTCTACCTGGGGCACCTGGTTCACAACCCAGGCTTGCGCCCTGACTGGAAATCGAACCCGTGACCCTTTGGTTGGCAGGCCAAACTCGGTGCCCTGAGCCACACCAGTCCAAACTCTTCTTAGCACTTTGGCCAGGACATAGCATTGTTTTTGTGCCTTACTAAGTCATCAGTTCCTTGACAGCAAGTTTCTCCTCCTGTTTTCTCTGCTAGTTTGCATTAATTATTGTATTGAATATATATACATTCAATTAAATATGAATTAACTTTATTTTTTTAGCTTCAGGGAAACTAGTCAGAGGACCATGTTTTAAAATTTTTTTCTTTGCATTGATCTACAAGTAAATGCATTGAATCCAGAAAGGACTGTAGGTTTAAACAATGTATTGTGTTTATTCCCTTTGTTCCAGATTTATATTTATTTAAACTATATTTTCCATTTCTTGTGTTGACTCTCCTGCTCTTTTTCTAGGGCACTGTCTTTAATCTTGAGTCCGAGGAGGAGGAGGACCCTGGAGTCGTTGCTGAAGACAGCAATGACATTTACATCCTGCCCAGTGACAACTCTGGACAGGTCAGTCCTCCAGAGTCTCCCACTGTGACCACTTCCTGGCAGTCGGAGAGCTTACCGGTCTCCCTGTCTGCCAGCCAGAGCTGGCACACAGAGAGTCTTCCGGTGTCCCTGGGTCCCGAGTCCTGGCAGCAAATCGCCATGGACCCAGAAGAAGTCAAAAGCTTAGACAGCAACGGGGCTGGAGAGAAGAGTGAGAACAACTCCTCCAACTCTGACATCGTGCACGTGGAGAAGGAAGAGATCCCTGAGGGCGCAGGAGAGGCTGCCGAGGCTTCTGGAGTCTTGTCAACCAGGGGGTTGCAAGAAGCGTCCCAGGAAGCCCCCGCTCCCTCGCTTCCTAGGATCACTGCCACCTCCTTGCTGCAGATGCGGGAGCCTGCAAAGGTGACTGATGTGGAGAAGGTCAGCCCGGCACCCTCCTTGGCCATAGAACCTGGTGAAGCAGAGGAGCAGGTGGTGCCTGTGCTGGAGCCCAAGGGAGCGCTGCGGAGTGAGGGGATGGAAGCAAGGAGAGAGCGTCTCCTGCCAGGGCCCTCCCCGACGGGTGAGGAGAGGGCCCTGCCACCGGCCAGGGGCACAACTACGCTACTGTTTGGAGGGGCTGCTGCTGTTGCTGCCCTGGTGGTGGCTGTCGGGGTGGCACTGGCCCTGAGGAAGAAATAGCACATTTCTCCGAAGAGACAGCAAGGATGTTAGGTTTTGGCTGTGCTGAGTGTGAGCCGTCAGCAGTTGCCTGCATGACTGTGGAGCATGTGCAGGTCACCTGGTCAAAAGGGTGGGAGGTGGCAATGCTCATGGGTGTCTGACTGTGAGTCCCAAGGGCCGTGGCTCAGGCTTGACTCGGTCTCAGGAGTGAAGTCCTCCGTCAGGCACAGGTTTCCCAACCTCTGCACCAGTGTACCTTGGTAATTCTTTGTTGTGGGAGGCTGTCGTGTGCATTATGGAATGTTTAGCAATGTCCCTGGCCTCTACCTGCTAAACCACAGCACCCTCCTGCAGTCATGACAGCCAAAAATATCCCCTGACATCACCAAGTGTCCCCTGGGGGAGAAGTTGCTCCCCCTGCAGAGCCGCAGCTTAGAGGGGGAGGGTTCCGTTGGAAGCCTTGGGATAGCAGCGCCCCTCAGCCAGGACTGGCCCTGCCCTCAGACGCCCTCCTTCCTGACACTCGAGCGCCCTTCTGCAGTCCTCTCTGGCTCTTCTTGCCGGCCTTTTTGGTCCTGTCACGTGCGGGGCTCCGCCCTGTGTCTCAGGTGTCACAAGGCTCCTCTTCGCCCCAGGTTTCCTCCAAGATCCATGAAGAGAGCTTACTCTGTTCTGTCCCTGTCACGTCCTCAACTCTTCTCACAGCTTCATCTGGTAGAGACACTGCCCTTAGTCATCTTTCAAAGAGGGAGACGCACTCCCTCCCTGCCCAGGGTGCTGTGCTGTGGCGGTCACAGGCTCACAGACCTGTCTCGTGGAGCACATGGCTCACACGACCTCTGGCCCTGCAGGTATGGCCCAGACGAGCACAGGGCCACTGTCTGGTGCCAGGGCCTTGGACTCAGTCCTCTTCCGGGTTGGCCAGCTGGCTACTTGCAGTCCTTACTGCAACCACCCGAATCATAATTCTTATTAGTAAATACAGAAAGTCTCCTAAATGTCAATGAAATAAAAACTATGAAAAGAGAAGCCTGACTTTCTCGGTTATCCCCAAGATTCTAGTTTGGCTTCTTCGCTGAACTCTACAGTCCAGTGCCAGAATGTGGAACCAGATGGTTCTAAGTGGCGTGCTGTTGCCAATTGGCGTGGTTTTCTTTCTTTTGTCGAACCCACCACTACAGGGTAGGGGAGGGGATTGTCTCTCTGTGCCCAGGGGTCTCAGTGTCATGTGGACACACTTGCCTGACACCAGTCATCTCAGCTCTATCTTAGCAAGTGGAACACATTACTTTTTAGATCCTGAAATTTGTGATAAAATTACTTTACCTATCTTAATCACCAAAAGTTGATGTTTTAAATATACTTTTTAAAATCTATTCTTTAAAATTACAACTTCTCCATAAAGTAATACTATGTAAAAGTTGGTCAAGCCCTGGCTGGTGTGGCTCAGTGGACTGAGTACTAGTCTGCAAAGCAAAGGGTCACCAGTTCAATTCCCAGTCTAGGGCACATGCCTGGGTTGCAGGCCAGGTCTCCACTGAGGGGCGCTCAAGAGGCAACCACACAGGGACGTGTGTCTCCCTCTCTTCCTCCCTCCCTTCCCCTCTCTCTAAATCTTTAAAAATTTTCTTCACAGGGGAAGAGCAGGCTGGTGTATCACCTTGATTTTTCCCCCTTTCATAATAAATTTTTTTCTTTACATTGTTCACACTTTTAAACTCTGTCCTCAAGCCCATTGGCTGAGCACATTTCAGCACTAACAAACCAGGTTCGTCTCTGAGCTGCCACAGAGCAACCCTGCCAGGATCTGTGGGTCTGCGTCTCCACTAAGACAAAGAACGGGAGGTGGGACACGATGCCACCCTGGCTGCTTTATCGTCCGGTCTGCTGAACAGCAGTAACACAAAGTCCTTGGCCCGCTGCATTTTGCTGGGTCCTGGTAAATAGCTCTTTTCTCTCCAGCCCTGAGCTCCTGAGCAGAAACAGGGTGTACCAGCACCCTGTTCTGTCCTTGTGGCCTTATCCCCACTTCCTGCAGAGGGAGGGAGAGCTGAGAAGCAGAACAGCTGTGTGCTTTGTTGAAGAGAAAATCACTTCTCACCCTCCCTTTTGGTGGGAGTGGGCAGTAGAAAGCCATTCCTTCTTGCCCCGACTTAAGTAACATCTGAATCTAAGGTAAAAGGACGATTCAGAAGAAATCCAACGTACTTATAGAACTCAAATGCAGAACTGAGATCACTATTCATCATTCCTCATTCTTCGAACTGTTTTCGTTAGTCCTCCACAACTCTTAACTGCTCTGCTTGGGTGGAAGGGTTTCTGGTCACTTAGCGAAAAGCCAGTGACTGTTTCTTGAGAAAGATAACCCGAATTAATGAATGCTCATTTATCCTTTCTAATAAAATAATTATGAGCCCAGGGAAATCAGTTTCTGTAGTGTGCCTTAGGGGGCTCTCCAATCATCACTGCCTTCTAGAAAGAAGGCTTTCTGGATAAAGAACAAGGACTGGACCATCCCTTTCCAACATTTGCCCCAGCCCCCACTCGCCTCCCCTTGGCCGTGTCCTCTGTGCCCGTCAGTACTGCACGGGCAGCCCAGGCACGCGGTGGTGGTGGTGGGGGGGGGGCCGCCACGGCCCTTCGCCTCCTCAGCTCTGCCTGCTCTCCCTCTCCCGGGGTCAGAGCTGGGGTCAGAGCCGTGCCTGCACCCTGCTCTTCTCCCAGAGGGGTGACCGGTGGACAAATGTCAGGCCCATAGAATGTTTAAATTATTTTAAGAGCTGTTTTATAGAAATAAAAGGTATTGCAGGTAAAAAAAAACTTTTTCCTCCTCTTTTCTCAATGTATTACGTCTTTTTACATGAACTTACCGTCCAAAAAACTTGAGACAGTAACACGTCCTCGGCGCACAGAAGCAGCCTCTTGGCTCCCAACCGGCCCCTCATTAGCCTCACGCCGCCGGCAGCCCGGGCCCGCGATAGTGACGCCCCGCTCACGTTCCACCCCAGGAGGCTCGGCGGAGCGTGGGCTCAAATTCAGGAGGCATATTTTGTACAAATTAGAATATCCTTTTTCTTTAAAAAGTGTGGGTAATTGTAATTCTGGCAAATTGTTGAGGGTTTACTAATTCTTCTACAGTCGTCGAGCATATGAAGGCCACGAGTTTTCCCGACTCCTTGCACTGGCAGGACAGCCGCCCGCCGCGTCCGCCCCCCCCCCCCTCGACGCCCAGGGGCGGCCTGTGCGAGCGCCGGACCAACCGGGCGGGTCTGCCGGGAGGGGCCCTGTGGGCGGGAGATGGCACGACCCGGGACGGGGCTCCTCTCGGGGGCCTTTCTTTTCCTTTTTTTTTTTTTTTTTTAAATAAAGATTTTACTTCTTTTTAGAGAGGGGAAGGGAAGGACTAAGCGAGGGAGAGAAACTTCGGGCGTGTGGTTGCCTCTCACTGGTCCGCAGCCCAGGCGTGTCCGGATTGGGAATCGAACCGGCGACCCCTCGGTTCGTGGGTCGGTGCTCAGAGCCACACCAGCTGGGGCCTGTTCGCCGCCTCCATTCACACTGGGTGGCATTTCCGCTTCTGCGCCAGGGCGCAGCGACTCGACAGGAGTCTGCACCGAGGGGTGTGAAAGCAGCGCCCCGGACCCCTTTTCTCTCCCCTCCGTCCTGACTGGTCCCCTGCTGGCGCCGAGGGCGGTGAGGCCCCCGGGACCCAGCCCCAGGCTCAAGGCTGGGGTGCCCGCAGGCGCCGCCCCGTGGAAGCCCGGGAAGCGGGGTCAGGAAGCGGGGTCAGCAGCGCCTCGTCCGCGAACTAGTTTGAACTTGGCGCGGTCGTTCAGACACCTCCGTATGGAACAGGTTTGGAAACCGTCGCAATGCCGACAGAGTGACGCAGCTCGTCTTGGTCTTTACCTCAAACCGACCGGCCGAGCTGGTCAGCCAGGCCCGTGACTAGGAGCGGAGTTTACGCGGTAGGAACCCAGGTCCACGGCTGTGGCTCAGGCGGAGCCGCTCGCTCCCACGTACGTTCGCGGCGCCAGGATCGCGCGGAGCAGCGGCTGGCTCCTGGCCCTTCCCGCCCCCACCCCTAGGGGGAGCCTTGGAGTGACTGACCCCTCGGCGGGCGCTGCGCAGCGCTAGAAGAAAGCGGTTTGCTCATTGCCTATTAGAGCAAAACTTCCCACACTTCAAAACTTGCTGCCTGCTGTTGGCTGGTGTGTCTCAGTGGACTGAGCGCTGGCCTGCAAACCGGTGTCCGGGCGTTGGATCCCCGTCGGGACACAGGGGTGCACCAGGGTTGTGCACCAGGCCCCCAGTAGGGGGCGGTGCGAGAGGGAACCACACTGATATTTCCCTCTTTCTCCCTCCCTCCCGCTGTCTAAAATAAATAAAAATGTTTTAAAAGTAGCTTGCTGTCTCCTCTCCCAGGAAAGATGTAGCGTGTCCCCTGTTGAAAAGTCGTGAGGCGGGACTCAGCAGGGAAGAGCTCCGAGGCTGCGCCGCGGTTCCTGCCCGGCGTCCAGCGTCCCGGTTGCCAGGAAACGGCCTCCTCGCACTTCCGGAGAAGGAAGGGCCGCGAGGAGGAGGGAGGCCAGGCTCACCCGGGACTCGGCGGCCCTGGGCGCGGTGGGATAACACTGCCAGGTGTCCCCGCATCACTGGAAGCACCGTGTTAGCAGGAAGGGAGGGAAGCCCGACGTGCAGCCTTTCCACTGCCTGCGAAGGAAAGCCCTGAACCTGCTTTCGTTCCGAGGCCTGGAACGTGGGAGGGAAAAGCCCGACGACAGCGGAGGATCGACCTCTGGTCCTGTGTTGCGAGGGCGTCCCTGGTGCTCACGGAAAGTGCCCCCGTTTTCAGTAGCCGCCGCCTGTCACGTATTCGCTTTACGACAAGATGAACCAAGGGGGGTCTGGAGCAAGATGAGGGCTCGGGCTGACGGACCGCCACGGGCACTCGGTTTAGGTCGCGGCACCGCCTCTTCCCGCCGATACGGAACTTTTCCCTCCCGCCCCACCGACTATAAAGTCCTCAGAACGGAAGGCGCTCCGCGGGCGCTCCCGGCTCACGCCGCCCCGCCGTTCTCAGCCCCGCGCCCCGGCCGCCGACAGACGGGTGGCGCGCTCGCAGATTCGCCTCCGTAGCGCTCCTCACGCGGCGGCGAGAAGAACCAGGTCTCCCCCGTCCGCGGTTGCTCCCGGCGGCTCCGCAAGAGCCGAGCGGGGACACAGACCGGGCCTGAGGAAGAGCGCGGGTTGTCCCCGCCCGCGGCCCTCCCGTCGTCTTCGCTCCCCTCCCTTCAGGCTGCAAGCGCCTTTCGCACCTGCTTCGCTCCCGCCGAGTGAACGGCATTACCGGCTCCAACGGCCTCCCAGCGACAGGATTCGAACGGCGGCGCCTCCGAGTCACACGAGCCCTTCGCGGCGGCTCCGCGGGCGCCCGCTCGCCCCGGCGGCCCTGCCGGCGCTGCCGCGTCGGGCGTCCGAGTTCCGCTTCCCGTCCGAGCGGCGGCGGGGCGGGCACGGTGGGGGCTGCGGGGAGACGAGGTTGGAGGACAACGGACGGGCTCGCCTTTCTCCTCACAACCCGAGGGGCGTCCCCCGCCGGGGAGCGGCGGTTCCGGGGCGTCGGTCCGTAGTCTCGCGAGCGCACGGCCGCCCCGCGCCGGACCGCACGGCGGACTTCCGCGTGTGCGCCGTGGGCCGCGCAACCCCCGGAGCCGCTGGGCCGGCCACCCGAGCCCACCCGGGTTGCAGCTGCGCCGAGCACCTTTTGGAGAAGCCTTTGATCTGTTTTTGTCATTTTTTAAAAATCCTTGGGCGGGCGAGGGTGCGTTTGATTTTTAGAGGAAGTAGAGAAACACCGTTCGGCTGCCTCTCCCACGCACCCCAGGGCCCTGGCCCCGGCCCCGACCGGGTGGTGGCCTTGCTTTATAAGCTGTCACACTGGGAACATCCCCACCAAATCGTGTATTAAAATAGTGGCCTAATGGGCTCATTTAAGCAAAGCGGTGGCTGTTTTAGAGCTCTTTTCCATTAGTTTAGTCGACTGCTTGTATTTAAATTGCGCTTTCTGGAAAACTTCCCCTCCCCTTCCCTCCCCGGTGATGCAGGTATGGGCGGGAGTGGGATTCAACTTATTTTAGCGGTGACAGGAATCCTTTGAAAAGGAAGGTCCACTCTAAAACACTCAATACTAGCTTACTGGAATTTTCCCCCCAAACGACGGCCTTCACACTGCAAGGCATCAACTATTTGCTTCTAATATTTGTGACATGTAGCAGGTACCAGATTGCGCCCTAGCCCTGTGGTGTGTTTAATGCTGAATGATACCATCTTGTTTTCTGATGAAACACTCAAGGCACAGAGAAGCATTTGGTAACAGGAATCGTTTATTGGTACTTCATCACTCTTGTTCACAAGCTTCTCCAGAGTGTCATGTTCACAGCAACAAGGGTGTTAGCATGGAGCAAGGGTCACATGCATGACACAGACTGGCATCCATGGTCACACGTGTAAACGGGACTCTAGGGAACACTTGCTGGGAGTCACAGGCAGCATGGCACCACTGCTAAATACACACACGCCCAAGGTCCCTGAGAGATCTGATTTTGTGTCACTAGAAAAGGCACTTTAACTGTTGAATTTTTAGATGTTTTGTCATTTTTTTATGCCTAGAAGAACCTGCTCTCTCCTGATACAGTCTCTAAAGCTTGGAGGAACTGAGGGCTGTGGCTGGAAAGTGAAAACACAAGATTACAAGCAGACAGTTCACATGGAATATATGCAATAGTTTCTGGTGCTCCAGCACTTTGAAAACTTTATCAAACCCTTGGACTTCTTACAGAGACACGTGTCTGCAGTTACTTGATTTTGGAAACTGGATGACATGGGCCCATAAGTCCCTTCCACACCTTTTGTTTGCCTGCGATTTTCCTTGACTCTGATAAAAGGAAATCAAGTTGAAAACATTCAACACGTTCTGAATCTAGACTCCCCTGTGTTATGTGGTTTTTAAACAGGAAGACTAGTCCTTCCTAAGCATCACTATGCACCCTGATCTGCGGGGATTTTTATCTGTAAGGGGCACGTGAGGCCCATGTCCGGGTCTTGGTCTCTCACACACAACACCACTGTAAGACTGTACTCCAAGGCTGCGCTTTAATAAAGTGTTTTGTTTTAGACAAAAAACATTAAGTGTGTTTTTTATCTTCTGTCTTATAATCTTCTTTTAACTTTAGTTTTCCAGTGGGGACCCACACTGGTCAAAAAGATAAAGGCACAGCACATAGATTTGTAAGATGAGATCAAATTCGTCTGAATATGTGCATGTTGCCATTTTCATTCAAGTAAATCAACAGGGAGACTTCCAAGTGGGGCACCAGCTTCAAGCATCACCTTTCAAACGGCGAGGAACAGCTGTTGTTACCCTGAGTCCATCTGCTCTAGGAGCTTTGTGTACATGGTTGGGCTCCGTCTCCACAGGATGCAGGTACCGACCAGACCATCTGCAGCCACCGTCAGTCCATCTCCTAGAGCAAGAACGAACCAGAATTAGCTGCTCTATTTTTTTTTTACCAACATAGTTGGTCATAATTCTTTACTTTACATTTTTAAGAATTGATTTAAGAGAGTAAAACATGGATTTGTTGCTGCATTTATTGATGAATCATTGGTTGACTCTTATCTGTGCCTGGGGTTGAACCCACAACCCTGGCATATCCAGGTGATGCTCCAACCACTGACCTGGCCAGGGACGACTTTTAAATTCTTTCTTCTAACTTCCTTTTTGCTCGTTCTCCCTCTTTCCTAACTTGCTCTGAACAACCTGAGTTCCTTTTTCTTTCCTTTTCCAGGGATACTTTCTCCACTGTGGCCCTGGCGATGTTTTAGGCTCCGTTCTGGTGTCGCAGTGAGGAAGCGGCCAGGGACAGTGCACAATGGCGTGAATGTGGCCGTGCCGTTTACCAGCAGCCCTCGTGATCGGCCGTGGGCTCCATATCCCTCAGCTGAGCACACACACTGCATTTTTTAGAACATACACTCAGCTTCTGGGACGGATAATCCACACAGAACGTAAACAAGACAGTTTTTCTCTACTTCTGCCAGCAGTTGGCATCATGGGCTCGGGAGCCAGAAGCCTGTGTCTCTGCTCCGTGTCACTAAGGTGTTGTCCTCAGCTGTACACACATCCTCACGCACATTCCAGCCCACGGGCAACTTCCTTCTCTCCAGGGACCCAGGTTGCAGATGCGCTCTGGCCTGCAGCCTGTTTTGTCAGGTTAGTCACAGGTCACACTGGGACCATCAACAAACAGGATGGCTACATGCCTCACTGCAGGAGATGGGGGGGCAGATATGGGGGCATCCAGCAGTCCCTCCTGCAACTGAAACCAGGATTTTCTGATTTGCTTCAAGGACTAGACAGAATCTACAGCCAGCCCTTCACGCACCCCTAACAACACCTGTCGCACACTGTTTATTTAGCACATTTAAAACCCAGTTAGGTTTTCACTGCTGTGCTCTCCCGTGAGTTCCCAGGGCTCGCTCTACACCTCTGACACAGCAGATATCACTGCTCTATCGATGATCATTTCCTCAGGTCTAAACTAGCTGTTCTAATTTACAAACCAGAATTCAGCCCTTAAGAAGCTGGGGCTTGTACAAAAACGCATTCCCCGGAGGAGCCAAGATGTGGCTATTACCACCTACAGGGTGCCAAGAGGCACCCCAGCGAGCCCATGGAGTTGAGCTTCTGTTAAGGCCCTTTGGGCTTTGGGGAGTGGCCATGACGTTGCACCGCCTCGTCCATCAGACGCTGGCTGGCAACTGCTGCCTGGGAATCTTCCCAGGTGCCCCTGATTCCATGGCGGAGAGGAGCCTTTCAGGTTCATCGGTCAACATTAAGAGGGTTGGATGTCTGAGTCACGCTCCTGACCCATAAGATCTGAGTTGCCAAGGCTGTCAACTGTACAGAAGTGAGACCCACTGCACCTGCACTCAGCCGGGTGAGACAGAAGCAGCGGACTTGAAGGGCTGCCTGCCTTCCTGGGCAGCGCTGTGGGGAACTGTGACTTTCAATGTCCTGGTATCGCCTAGCGGACATGTTTCTGGGGCAGGTTTTGGATAGTTTCCCCCTCTTCTGGCTTCTCTCTCCTTCATCCTTCCTGGTAACCTTTTTTTTTTTTTTTATAAACATATTTTCAAAGAATTTAATCATACTTATTCTGGGGACAAAGTGAAGTTGGGAGCAGACCAGAAGCTCAGCCTGGGCCCCTCGGTCACATTCTTGGACGCTCCAGGCATCTGCCCCAGTCACCATCTGATGGGCAGTATGAAGTGAGCCTTCCTCGCTGACAGGAGCACGTCTTACAAAAAAGGCTGATGAAGCTCAAAAGGACATCAGGGGTTCCCTGGTCCTCCTACCACACCGCTGTCTTGCTCATGAAAGCAGGGCCGAGCCCATCTCCGTCAGCAGGGTGGCCTGAATGGCCTTCCCCGCAGCTTGTGCGTCAGACGCAGGGCAAAGGGAGGGAGGAGGCAGAGAGCTCGGCCAGTCTCCTGACCTCAGGGGAGGTGGGCGCAGGGAGCAGGTGGAGACCAGAAGCACGCAGGGAACTGCCAAGGAGCTTACATTTCTGACTAAGTTTCTCACACAGGTGAGCAGGTTCTGGTTAATAAAATTCACTGTTGTGTGGAAGACCTCGGGCAGCAAGGACGGAGTGTGACTGGCCACCCTCCTGGCCAGCAGCATGGTCACCAGCAGCATCATCTTCTCCTCTTCCAGGTCTCTAGGGCAGGCCTGCAAGACCTGGTTCACCGCGCTGGCCAGGCACGCCCTCCGGCCCTGCAGAGGGGAGAACAGAGGGCTCCTGTGGGACCTGACCCAGGACTGGGCCACTCCATCCCTCCCCCGGGGAGATCCAATGTCGTGGGGAGGTAGTTCCAGAGCAGCTCCGGTGGCAGGGAGAGGGAATTCAGTGCTGAGAGGCGGTCAGGAGGGCAGATGAGACCACTCTCTGGAGCACAACCTGGACCAGACACAAAGTCCCGGAGCATCGTGTGCCCACACCCGGCACCAAGGACCCCTGCCTCTCAGGCACCGCCACTGACAATGAATGAGCTCCCCATGGTGCCAGTGGCAGGAAAGGCCCCTGAGGCCCCTGACTCCCTTGGGAGATTAAGTAGATGTGTGGCAGGGGGCCCAAGGCAGGACAGCGCAGGGGACCAGACCACTGAAGAGGGGCACATGCGTTATTTTTAGCTGAGAGTCCAAAGAATGGAACCACTCTCCCCTTGAACTTCTGTCGGCATGTATCTGACCTTGGGGTGTTTTCCCCCCTCCCGAGTTCTGCAGAAAGGACACAGTGCCAGACCTGTGTTTGAGCCCCCACAGCGTGAGTGGGTGGGTGAAGACACCCCGGAGCCGAGAGCAGCGGCTGAAACGCCGCTCTTCTTGTCACAGCCGGGGAAGGGACTAAACGTTCTCTGTCGCTGTCCCCCGAGGCGGGAGAACGTTATTTCTGGAGGAGTCGTACCCATTTTGCTCATCTTTTTGCTCACCTTCATCCCCAAACTCTTGACTGTGGCTTAGGGCTCAGGTTTCTTAGATGTCAAGTGACTTAATTCTTCGGGAAGACCCTTAACCGTTCTGTTACTGCTGCGGCCGTCTCCTTTGTGGACGGTAGTGGATCGGGCCCCTCCCTGGACACTGGTCTGTCTGACGGGGCACAGAAGACCCCTCCCACCCCTCAGGGACCCCAGAACAGGCACCGGGGGCGGTCTCTCACGTACTTCATCTGACAGGCTCCCGTCCCTCAGCTGCACCACCAGGTGGTCCACCAGACTCGAGGGGACCCTGCGGTCCATCACATCCCCGATCCGGGCGAGCTGCTGGGCGATGTTCCGGATGACATCCTCCTGAGTCTCAGAACCTGAGCGTTCGGGCAGGGGCGGCGGAGACGAGGCGGCCTCAGACGACGGCCTGTTCCAGCCCCTCACCCCGCACCACCCCCTGGGGAAGGAACAGAGCCAGCCCCCACCTGCAGAGCACCCCACAGTGGGGTGGGGCGTGGGGGTCCGGGCAAAGGGCCCGAGCAAGCAGGCCTCTCCCTGAACCCAGAAACAAACGCCTGCCCACAAAAAAGACCTGTGGCGGTGCCTGAGGCAGGAGCCCGCCAGCAGCCTGGGCCCCACTACCTGACGGGTGCGGCCGGGGCTCTGTCAGGGCAGGGGGTCCAGGCAGGCCTGGTGAGAGACCTCCTGTGGCCCCCCCAACCCCGAGCCCGGCTCACTCAGCAAACCTCCTCCTCACTGGAACCTGGGGGCTCTCTCGCAGGCCCCCCCAACAGGACTGTTCGATGTCCCTGTCCCGGGCACACTCTCCTCTCCCACACCGCCCCCCGATCCTCGGGGCTGCGTCCCACGTGGTGCCCTCCGCGCCCTCCCTCTGGCCCCGTTGCCAGAGCACCAGCTTCAGGAGGGCCTCAGTGTTTTAATGTTTTGTTTCCTGCCAGCCACGCAGCAGGAAGACGGAAATGCGCGGGCAGCCTTGGAACGGAGGGCTGGTGGGCACCCCACTCCCAGGGAGGGCTCAGTGCATGCAGCTGTCCTCACTGCTCTGACCAAAGCTCGCTTTTCTGTGCCTGACACCTTCCTCTTACACACCAGGACGGAAATCTCACCCTTCCCATCCTTGGCCGGTGGGCAGACCCTATCTCACGGCACAGCCCGGCCGCCCCTCCGGGCCGGCTCTCTCCAGCCCCTGGACAATCAGAGGCTCCCGCACCGCATGCTCCCTGCTCTCCACGGTGTGGCTCAGAAGGCGTTTTGTGCCCTGGGTGTTCCACCTGTCTCCCCATGGTGCTGACCTTAACACATGCAGTGTCCGCCCGGCACCATGTTCCTCCTCGGATTTCCACAAGCTCACCTCTGCTGACGTGACGAGTCACCCCCAAACCTTCAGTCGCCTTGAACTCCAACCACTGCCTTCAAACATTCTAGCCAAACTCAACAATTCACAGGACCCTTCCCAGGGCCGGGTTCCCTGCTTCCCCGCCTCCAGAGCAGACCTGCAGCACTGCCCTCAGCCGCACAGCCGGCTCAGCGGAGCCAGAGAGCCCTTCCAGATTCCCGCAGGCGCAGCCCCCTCACCTCCGTGCTGCGGGGCCCCCCCGCCTACCCCAGCAGCTGCAGGAGTTGTGGCCCCTCGGTGAGTGGATTTGCCCGCAGAGCCGGCAGTGGCCAGAGCCTCCGCTTTGCCTTCTGCTTCCATAATCCACACGCTCATTCCTGCCAGAGGGCGAGGTGACGCGCGCTGTCCCACGGCCACTCCAGCCAGCGCCACCACGTCACACCAGGCTTTGCCTCTGGGGGTGAGGGATGGTGTAGAAGGCAAAGGCGTCCCTGCCCCTGCCTGTCCTAGCCCTTCCCCTAAGGGGCTAGGTGCTCTCAACCAGTGCAGTGTCAGCTGATGACACACTCGCTGGATTCTAAGGTGGGGACCCTTCGCCAAAACCTCAGACCTGAGACAGAGCTAGGGATCCGAGGGCTGAACGGGCTGCTGGACCTCCTCATGGCCACCAGAGGGCAGTGCAAACCCCTCGGCCAGCAGGTGTCTGTGTGGCAAGATTCCAGGCCTGTTCTAGCCTCCAGGTCACCTCAGGTTTCTAAGGCAGCACATCTCACTTGGGGCACCCACCGTGACCGCTCCACCTGGCACACGCTGGCCCAGGCCACAAGAGCAGGGCCACAGACCCGATGTTTGGAAACCACTGGTCCTCACCTGGGAAACAGCAGGTGCTTGCCCTGCTCCGAGGTGCCTGGGGCGCCCCTCCCTCCGTGGGAGCAGCAGGGACAGCAGAGGGGAGTCACCCCTGAGGCTAGATGAGGATGAGGGTGTGGGAAGTGAGGAAGGTGGGGCACAACGGCCCGGGGACAGAGTGGCCATGAAAGGGCCAAGGACCCGTCTGATCTGGGCTTGTCGTTCTCTGTTCTTTGGGCCTCGGTTTGCTCATCTGGAAACGAGAGGCAGACCCTTCGATGCCCCCTAATGTGTGGAGAGGCGAGCATGCACGGTGCTGCAGAGACGCAAAGGGTCCCTGCAGCGAAACCAGTGCACCCTGGCTGGCGTGGCTCAGTGGACTGAGCATGTCGGCCTGTGACCCAGAGTCACCGGTTCGATTCCCAGTCAGGGCACATGCCTGGGTTATGGGCCAGGTCACCAGTAGGGGGCGTGTGAGAGGCAACCACACACTGATGTTTCTCTCCCTCTCTTTCTCCCTCCCTTCCCCTCTGTCTAAAAATAAATAAATATAATCTTTAAAAAAAGAGACAGAAACCACTGCAGATTCAGTGAGGCCTCCCCTGTGGGCACCTGGGACTCCCCTACCCCTGTGGCACCCAGACGTGTGGTGGGGACTGTGCCCAAAGTCCCTTTGATCCCTTTGAGCCCTAGGTACCCTGACTGTCGCTGGTGACCTGAGGCAGGAGTGACGGGCGCCCACCTCTGTCCTGGCCCTCCAGGGCAAAGCGGCTGCACCGGCTGCCGTCTGTCTGCAGCTCCTCCTCACTGTGCTCCTGGGACCCCTGGAGCACAGGCAGGGTGTGGCCCTCGGGCGCAGGCAGGGTGTGGCCCAGCCTCTTCAGCTCCTCCTGGAAGTTGTGGCTGGGCCCGAGCTGGAGGAAGCTGAACACCAGCAGATCTGTGACGTGCTCACCCCCGAGGCTAGGACCATTGCGGACCTGAGAGGAAAGAGATGACACTAGTCTGAGACCCGAGTCACCTGTGGGCACTGAGGTCCTGCAAGTCTCCAGGGGCAGTGGCCATGTCTGTGGGCCTGTGTGTGGATGCTGAAGACGAGGCTCCAGGGACACACCAGCGGGCCGTTCACCGTGTGACGGACACCCTGGCAACATGTAGCTGGATGTGTGGAGGAGGGAGCTGCAAGGGCGTTTCAGGACACCCTGGCTTTTGCCAAGTCCCGGGAGTCTCTCCCCGACCCACACCCACCCCCACTGGCCACAAGTGACCCTGTAGGCGCAGCTCCTGCTCCTCCACTGTCTCCTGTGGGGGCGCTGGGTGGTCGTGTGCAAACAGGTTTTCAGCAAATACTGGGCAGTGGTGGCCGGATACCTCAGCCCTCGGGCAGGCTGGCTTTACTCTGGGGGGACAGGGCTCCTGCTGTGACCGAGAGTGGCCATAACCTTGGCCCATCTGCTTGCCACTGCACAGCCTCTGCTGTGGGTGGGGTGGGGACTGTGCTTGGGACAATGTTCTTGGCACTGGTGGCCAGGTGTGCTCAGAACAGTCAAAGACCAGGGATGACGGAGGAGAGTCTGGGAGGCCCAGACACACGCAAAGCAGGCGTGCTGGGCACTACGAGGCAGCAGGAGACGGGGGTGCAGGTGAAGTTTATTTGTACCCCAGAGTCCGTAATATTTTTCAATAGATAAATAAGAAAACTTTCAGAAGACAGTTTTTAGGGGGAAAGTTGTTTTAAATAAGTGGAAGGCACACGGTCAGATGCAGGGACCAGCACCCACCTGGGATGGGAAGGAGCGTTGAAGGGGGACTGAGCTTCAGTTGGGGACCATGAAGCTCTTCCATGAACGGACCTAACACCCTTACACTGGACATGTAAATGGTGAAAATGGTTAACTTGATGCCATGTATATTCTACCACAATTAAAAATTTTTTACCACAATTTTCAAAAACTGAAAAAAAAATCAAAGACAAAGGTGAGAGAAACCAGTCACAGGAAGAAAACGCCGGAGGTGGGGGAGGAGGCTGAGGCCCACCCTCGACTCCGAGTCTGCGCCGCGGGCAGCAGGTCTCCGCTTCCTCTCCTCGACAGGACGAAGGGCTCTGGGAATAACCTGGGAGGAAGCACACCCACCTCCCTGCACCGAGGGGCTGTCAGGAGAGACAGCAGAGGGGGCGGAGCGCCCCCAGCTACCGAGCCTCGGGCACAGGAACACAGGTCCAGGGGACAGAGCTGTCCCCTGGGAGGGACAGCCATGGGCCGGGTGAAAGGGCCCGAGCACAAGAGGGCGTCCCCACTCAGCCTGCCAGGGCTCCCGCCCTCCTGCTGCCAGGTGGCTCCCGAGCTTCTGAAAAGATGTCCGATGGCACCTGCTGCAAACCTCCCAGTGCTGGGACCTTCCCTCAGCTCCAGAGTGTGGGCAGGTCCCGTCCGTCCGGGGCAGCCACTGGAGCAGCAGAGGGTCATGTGGAGGAGCTGGTGGCCTTGAAGACCTTGTAGAACTCAGCCAAGGAATGAAGGGCTTTTGATGGAATGTGTTATAACGTTCTCTTCCAAGCTCGTTCAAAAGCAGGTGCAGACAAGGCTCCGTGTAGGTGCCACCCTGTGAAGCGGGGTCTGGCCCGTTTGACCTCTGGGTGACCTCTATAGCTTTCAAATGATCTCACACCAGAAAGCCTCCTACGGACAGGCAGGAGGTGGGGAAGGCTGAGAGCAGAGAGGGGGAGACGGGGAGAGAGTGCCGAGCCACAGGGTTCATCTCTCCTGTTTGCTGCACCGCAGCCAGCAGGGCAGGCTGGGTCCCACTGACCATGCCCACCCCACCACCCGCCCCCACACCCCCAGAAGCACCTGACCTGACAATTCATGGCGGCTGGTGGTACAACTGGAGTCCAGACACAGGCGTCCAGCAGCAGCCTAGAAGGGACACACAGACACACAGGTGGGACACTCCTTCTGGGAGGGACCGAGGATGCTGCCCTGGCTCTGAGCACTGCAGCCCCACCGCTGGCCCTGGCGGCCGCTCCCCTTGCCCAGAACCTGGGCAGTGGCCCCAGAGGGTGGACCCTCACAGTGCGGAGACTCACCCAGGTGCTGGGCGGCGCACCAGGGTCGCCCACCAGCCTCAGCCCTGCTCTCCTCCCGGCTCACGACGCCCCGGCTTCACAGTCCACACGAGGAGGGCATCTGGTTAGGGATGCTTTCTAAGTTATATGTACATTAGTGAGTTTCCTACAAAAATAAACTCAGCTAATAAAGCAAACCTAGCGGTTTACAGGAAATCCGTTTTATTATTATTACCACTAGCAGGGCCACTAACCACAACTCTTCCTTCTCACGACAAAAGTGCCAGCCCCTCGCCTCCCTCAGGAAGGTTCTTAGAGCCATGGGGGGGTCCCCTCGCCTGCCACACGCAGGGCAGAAGGCAGCGGGAGCGCAGTGCCGACGCTGACGTCGGTGACCAGAGGACACGGTCCCACCCGTCGGCCTGTGATGTCGCAAAAGTGACCACCCAGTTCTCCGAGAGCAACTGCCCATCTTTACCACCCCAATTCCTAAGACTGGAGAAAAGAGACGAGGTGTTTTGTTTTGCTTTTATAAAAAATTTTATTGATTGACTTGAGAGAAAGAGAAACATGGATTTCCTATTCCACCCACCGATGCACTCCCTGGTTGATTCCTGTCTGTGCCTTGACCGAGAATCGAACATACAACTGGGCACATGGGAACCACGCTCTCACCGGCTGAGCCACCGATGGGGGCTGAGGCGAGGGATTTTGGAAAACAACACAAATTACTTCACTGGCCCTAAGTCTCCCTCAGCAAAAACAAATACAAAACATATTTTATATTGTTTTCTCCTCAAATGTTAATAAGAAAAAGCCTTCATCGTCTGAGCAGACAATGTTATCGCTCATCTTGTGCGGTGATTTTCAGAGACTAGGAGGTCTCTGTCTGCATCGGTCTGCATGTTCCTGAGTGTCCGCCTCTGACAGTGTTGCTGATGCGGAAAAGAGGTCCATTTAATTGGCTTAAACAAATACGTGCTTGCATTAAAATTTTCAGCCCTGGCTGGTGTAGCTCAGTGGATTGTGCACTAGCCTGCAAACCAGAGGGTCACTGGTTCGATTCCCAGTCAGGGCACAGGCTTGGGTTGTGGGCCAGTCTCCAGTAGGGGGTGGGCGAGAGGCAACCACACATTGATTTCTCTCCCTCTCTTCCTCCCTCCCTTTCCCAACCTAAAAATAAATTTAAGAAATTTTAAAAATTACAACTAAACTACAGAATCCCACCACGTGGAACTGGAAGTTGAACAGAAGTCACACGGAAACTGGTAGGGGCGGAGACATGAAAAGGGTCCCACACCCACAGGTGGCGGCTGGACACGGGGATGGGGGAGCATATCTTGCTGCACAGGTCCCCCTGAGGAGTGAGGGGTCCCGGCCCCACACCAGGCCCCCGCCCAGGGTTCTGGGGCTGGGAAGAGAGTCCTGATCAGCTGGGTGTGGAAAAGCGGCCAGGACTCCACCCAGGCGGGTTGGAAGGCTGCCAAGGGCTCCGGCGCCCTATTACAGCGCCCACACGGCCTCGCTCACTCACAGGCTCGCCCTGAGCTCCAGCAAAGGGCCGGCACCTCTCGCGGGGCTCACAGGGAGGAACTGAGGTGTCCTGCTTCAGGGTGGGGGCCGGAGGGGCGGCTTTCTCCAGACCAAAGGGGCTACAGGCACCACTGTTCCTGCTGAGACCTCCCAACCACAGCCCGCGGGGGGGCCCACAAGAGTCCCCATCACCCTGGTGCGCACACCACACCCGGTGATTCTCTGGGTCCCGGCCCCACCCCACCCGGAGCCCAAACACCGCTTTGAAGCTGGTCCACGTAACCGGCGGCCTGGTGCTGCGCTGTGGTCTTTCAAAACACCTGCCAAGGCTCAAATCCCAAGTAAGTGGTGAATGTACCTCTTGCTAAGTAGCCCCCAATGAGTCAGGCGTTTCTCAGGCAACAAACAAGGAAGATTCAGTTTTTTTTTTTTAATATCAATGTATAGTTGCCTCTTGTGAGTCCCCTACTGGGAATTGGCCTGCAACCCAGGCATGCGCCCTGGCTGGGAATCGAACCGCGATCGTGTGGTTCGCAGAACCGCACTCAATCCACTGAGCCACACCAGCCAGGGCAAGGAAGATTCAATTTTTGAACAAATCGCTTCTCGAGTGGTTTTCCAGAAGGAATTCAGTTTGAGGGCCAAGGGCCCATGGTACCTAATTTCTTGAACCCACCCGCACTACCGTCTCCTGAAAGGAGAACAATTTAGCCACCACTTCTGCAAGGTGAACGTTCCAGGGAAGCTTCAGGAGGGGTCTCCAGGGGCTCACACCAAATCGCCCCAAGACGGGCCCCTGGTGTGTGAATTATTTTGAGTGGAAAGTCAGGAGACCCTGCAGGCTAAGGAGCTGGTTTCACCTCTTCCTTAAGGAATTTTAAATCAGGGGCCTTGCCCGTAACCAGTCATCCCCAGAGAGGAGCTGTCAGGACCTGTCCGCGGGCAGGACCAACTTGCACTAAACATCTGTTTCTGTGGTCCGGCGATGACCTTCCTCCCTCCAAAGCCCGTGCCTGACCTTGCCCATGGCTCAGAATGCACTTCCGTCTCCAGCCTCTCCTGTGCATGGTCTGCTTCCCACATATGTGTGCACTTAATTAAATTTGGCCGCTTTCTCTTTTTAATGGGTCTCACGCAGTTACTCGTTGGAGCGGCTGAAAGAACCTTCATGGCACAGAGAAGTCTCTTCCTCCCCCACGACCAGGCCTGAGCCTCCTCCTTTCCTCAGTCCTGGGAAGCCACAGGCTTCCCTCACCCGCAGGGACCCTCCTCCGGCTTCCGGCTCGGGCCTGTCTGACTGGTCAGAGGACGGGAGCCACCGGGAACCCCGGGAACCGAGGGAGGGAGCCGGGAGCCGGAGGTCAGGACCCTGCACCCTTTGCCTCCTTCCTACCAACCCCCCCACCCCCACCTCTCCCACAGGCCCAGGGGAACTCAGAAGAACTCAGGCCCCAGGGGAACCCACACTCTCTCTCTCTGATGATTTGGCTCCTCTTCCCGGCTCCCTCCCCCTCCAAGCATAGGAATTGGGCAAGACCAGTGGTTTGCAGCCCTGGCCACACTGGAATCCGCTGGGAGGCTCTGCCCAGATAGTTCAGCTGCTTAGACCATCGTCTCATTATACCAAGGTTGTGGGTTCGATCCCTGATCTGGGCACATACAGGAATCCATGGAATGTAAATGAGTCCATACACAAGCCCTGATATTTAGTTAATTGATCTCTGACAAAGTGGCCAATATAGGGGTAAAGTCTTTTCATCAAATGGTGCTGGGACAACTGGATAACCACGAGCAAAATGAGGCATTTGGGCCCTGGCCAGGCGGCTCAGTTGGCTGGAGCACCGTCCCGCACACCAAGAGGTCATGGGTTCAACAGCTGGGTGGGGGCGCACACGGGAGGCACCGACAGACACACCCGTCTCAGGTGGACGCCAGTCCCCGCCCCTCCCACCCAATCAGGAAACATATCCTTGGGTGAGGACTTAAAAAATGTTTTTTAAAGCAGAAATTTGGGCCTCACCTCTCATCATACACCAAAATTAACCAAAAACAGATCGTGGACCGACACGGAAGGGGTGAAACTGTAAAACCCTCAGGACACTGAACTTCATGACCTTGGCACCACGAGAACGATCGACACGAGAGAAACGTGTGCACTGAACTCTCAACAGCGATAAACCTGCGTTTTTCAGAAGATTCCATCAGGAAAGTGAAAGGACGACCCCCAGGATGGGAGAACACGTTTGCACCTATTTCACAGAGGACTCGTATCCGGAATAGGCGAACAATTATAACTCAACAATAAAAAGGCAGACTAAAAATCAGACAAAAGCCCTGGCTGGTGTGGCTCAGTGGATTGAGCACAGGCCTATGAACCAAAGGGTTGCTAGTTCAATTCCCAGTTGGGGCACAGGCCTGGGCTGTGGGCCAGGTCCCCAGTAGGGGGCGTGAGAGGCAACCACACACTGATGTGTCTTTCCCTCTCTTTCTCCCTCTCTAAAAATAAATAGAAAAAAATTAGACACAAAGCTTGAATACTTCAAAGAAGATATTCAAATGGCCAATAGGCACTCAGAAATGCTCAACACCATCAGCCGTCACAGAGTGCTAATCAAAACCACGAGACGCCCACCAGGACAGCTAGAATACACAGAAAATATCAAGCGGTCGCAAGGGTGTGGAGAAGCCAGAACTCCCGCACTGCTGGTGGGGGTGCTAAACGCTGCTGCCGCCCCTTCAGAAAACTGGCAGGTCCTCAGGACAACGGAACAGAGGTACATCACTGTTCCAGGTAGACCATCTGTCCGGAATGCTGGGGTCTCCGCATGGGCCAAGAGGCAGCAGGGGAGGGGCTTACCCCAGGTGTTGAAAAGCCCTCCCCACCTCGACCCTTGGTTATCGGCCTGGAGGCGGGGCAGGGGAAGACAAGCAAAATAGGGCAAAACAGCGCAGGGGCTGGACTGAAGAGGCCTACGATCTGTCCTGAGCACGGCTGGTGGGGGGGGGTTCGGCTGGCACGTGGTTCGACTCGAAGCACATGAAAGTCTGGGAAGGTGATTGGTCATTTGGAGAAAAGTGCCTGGTCTGTCACATTTAAGGTCATCCCAGGGGAACAAAGCAGCGCTCTCGCCCACCACCTGCCTCTGCCCACCCGGTGACGCACGCTACCTGGTGCCGTGTGGGCTCCACACACGGCCTCTAGGAAGGAGCCCGGAATGGGCTGCAGCCAGGAACAAGCTGAGCCGCCTGGATGGCGGCTGAGACGACTTAGCAGCCACCTGCAGGCTCCGAAGGACTGTCCTTGAAAACGGAGCAAGA